GGCAACTCAACCTAAGTAATTACAACTCTTTAAGAAATAAAGACTAATGGGCCCAAGGCCCAACAACATCTTAATTTAAAAGGAAATAAACTAAACACAAGTCGGCCCACTCAACAGATAGCTAATAAGTAATAAGAAATTAATTAAAAAGAAAAAAATTATAAATATAGATTCTATTGAAACAATGCCTAAATACGAAAATATGCCATAAAATTGTTAACAATTTTGACCAAAATGTAAAGTCCATGTCCTATAAAGAAGTCTCTCTATCTCCTCGAAGTCTTTAGACCACATAAAATCAAGTACAGAAGAGCACAGGTCCAGGCATACACGATTAATAGTATTCTTTTTTTCCATAATATTTTTATTCTTTTTGTTCCAAAATTTCCCATCACACAGAAAAGGGATATCTCTCCATACAGTCTAAGCATTTGGACCACCTGCGACAGATGAACTTGCTGCAAATAGTTCACTACTAATTTGAAGGACAGCATGACGGAATAAACTATTCCTAAATAATGGGTAGGAAAGCATCTATTATATGTAGTGAATCCAGGGATTCAGGCAAGGCACAAGGACCTTTAGATGTGTGAGACATAGTCCCCATTTTGAAGGGCTTAAGCTTAGGTTGAACTGCTTCGCAATAGATTTTTAGGAGCAGCAGTTGGAAAGAGTTGAGGAATGTTTGGTGAGCACTTGGGTGCTTTTTTGATTAATAATGATGGTTGCATAAAGGGAATGGCATTTCATGAAAAGAAGTGAAAAGAACACTTTTGTCTTATATGGAATGTTTTAAAAGGAAAAACGCCAGGAGCTGGTCCAAAGCTAAAAAAAGCTTGAGACAAGAGTCATTCAAGGGGCTGAATGACCTCTAATTTTGTTTTTTTTTTCACCAAAAATCGTTTTTTAGCCTTTTGTGCCTTGAAATTTGTGAAAGGTAAAAGATGCAGCGGGATAGACCTCTCAAACAGGTAATAAGCCTCGAGGAATGAGACTTAAGCTTCATGATTTTTTCAAATTTTGAAAAAAATCAAACTATTATAAGTAGAAATATGTAGCATGCATAACAAGAGTTTATTTCTATGTAGGAAAAACATATAAATGAATAAACGATCACGTAAACAAAGGGATGAGAATATTAGGATCTTTATAGAAAACCATTGCATTCTTATAAATATTTTAACAACTCTTAATAAAGTATATATTTTAAATAATACCTCAAAATGTCCTTAAATATGTTGAAGCATTGATACAAGTATATGTATACAAACATATACATGCATATAGAAACAAAGGTATCTCATGGTCTGTTTCTGTGGTATATTTTATTTTAGATTAGTGAAGTTTATATGTTATGCAGCCTTATGCAGGAGCCGTTTTGTTCTGTACCAATGATATGGATAATTCAAGAGGATACCCTTGCAAAGCGGCTCCCTATTTATGATGAGATGGGATGGGAACGTATTATTACTGAATGGAGAAGTGCTTTTGGCAGGGCTGATGTTGTTGTCTTTCCCGATTTTTCTCTGCCGGTAAATTTTCAGGCTTATCAAAATTTGCTTTATTACAAAGACATCATTGTTAATTAATCCATTAATAGGACATTCTTATGGAATTCCTTTTTATGATTTTTTCCTACCTCTTGCAGATGTTGTATAGTTTGCTTGATACTGGGAACTTCTTTGTAGTTCCTGGATCTCCATTGGATGCTTGGGCTGCAGAGAGCTATATTAGGTCCCATTCCAAATATCAAATAAAGAAAGACCATGGATTGCATAATGATGATCTGGTGATTTTAGTTATTGGGAGTTCTTTCCACTACAATAAGCTCTCCTGGGACTATGCTGTGGCCATGCATGTCATAGGACCTCTGCTGATCAAATTTACAAGGAAGAAAGAGGAAGGAGGATCATTTAAATTTGTCTTCTTGTGTGGAAACTCAAGTGATGGATATAATGATGCTTTGCAGGTAATTGGCTATCAATCAGTTTCTCATGTATTAGCTATCAAACTGAAGTTACACTTTTTATCATGTATGGAAATAAATATGGGAATAGTATAATTTGTTGTTTTTTCCTTGACTATTACGAGATCAACAAGATTTTATAGGATAATAAATAAAAATGCAGCATTAGTGCACTCCTTTAGAGGAGAAAAATCTGAGCCATTTGGCCCAGCCATCCATAGTCTAACAATCACTACAAATGGATTCCCAGGAAGAGTAGACCCACAAATCAGCCTCTAATATTTAATTTTACATTATTAAGGAGGCTAGCATGGTGGCCGGGTGCCACCTAAAATAAGAGTCTTATGTTGGGAAGGCATAGACATGAAGACCAATACTTACCAAAATTGGGCCACCTAAAATATGAGCCTTATATTGGGAAGACATACACGTGAAGACCAACACTTATGAGAATCTCCAAAAGGGAAGTCCCTATTGGTATCTCTTGCTCAATATATCCTTTCTTTGTAAGGCAAGTTGTGAGACTACATACTGCCTACCAATCTCCTGTTCTTTCATTTGAAGTATTTTGGGATTTTCTTTTTCTTTATTAGGCTGTAGGTGGAGTGCTCCTGGGGATATCAAAAGCATCTTCAGCTCTTCGTTTTCTCTCCCAAGAAAGGGGCAAGTGGCTGTGGAGAGGCACTAGAGCAATTCTTCTTTGGTGTGTGCAAAGAGACAAATGCCAAAATTTTCAAAGAGAAAATACAATTGAAAGAAAATATCATTGAAAACAGTTTCATGTAGGTGGTTCATTGGGGAAATTAGCAGATGGCTTCTAATTTTCACTACTCATGACATCATGTAGTAGTTGGCTGGCTTACAATGAAAACGGGGGATCATTGCATTATAACATGGATTTAGAGACATTAAAAAGATGGCTGGGTTATTGGGAATCAAATACAGGTGGGCACCAAGAGCAGCCAATTATATGGCTGGCGCACTTGCAATTCAAGGAGTGGATGGAGACGGTTGCATTGGGGGATGATCCCCTGGGGAGAGTTGTAACAAAAGAAAGGAAAAGGAAGGATGGGTAGCAGTTGCTGACCTAATGATAGGGATACTTTATCATAACTTGTACAGCATTCTTTAGAGCATAATCAATAAAACTTTTGACCATTATTGGTAAACAAGGCTAACATGGGAAAAACAAAAGCAGGAAGAATAGAGATAGGGCTATAGTTATCAAATGCAATATCCCAAAGGAAAGCCTAGGTAAAAATAATATACATAACTGATAATAGGTTATTGTAATTTTGTTCTGTTTGCTGGCACAAAATTCTCATGGGAAAAAAATTAATTTGTGTTATCTCTTGTTAGCAACTTCTCTTTGTATAATTTTGTATCAAATAAATTTCCAAATGGAACAAAAAGGTCAATTTAAAGGATGTTTAAGAGTTATTATTTCCCTAATCCATGATCTTAATGTACAGGATATGAAAGGGTTTATCACACCCAATGGTCCGCAGAAATATTCAGGGTTCAATTCCAATTGTGCTTTAGCAGATTTTATTTAGTTATATGCTTTTGTCTTTATCCTTTGGAAACAGCAATGCTGGCTAACAAAAATGGTTTTTATTCAGATTTAATATTCCCTAGATGTGTTATTATCATCTTATTGTAGGAGCACTATCTTATTTTTCTCTTCTTGATGACTATTACTTTGAAGTGTTAATTGATCTCATATTTTTTTTTGGTGCAGGAAGTTTCTTCACACCTAGGACTTCCTCATGATTCTTTAAGGCACTATGGTATTGATGGTGATGCAAATGGTGCTTTTTTAATGTCTGACATTGTTCTGTATGGATCCTTCCAAGATGAACAAGGTTTTCCTCCATTACTGACCCGGGCCATGGCCTTTGGAATCCCTGTGGTTGCACCTGATTTGCCCATCATAAAAAGATATGTGAGTTTAGGCTAGTTTATCTTATCCTGGTCAACTTTAATCTAAAAGCTTGGTTGTGTTTTTTTTATTGTGTTTCTTACTTTGTATAAAACAATTATAAAATTACAGGTTCTTGATGGAGTTCATGCCTTAATTTTCAGAAAACATAATCCTGAGGCATTGTTGAGAGCTTTCTCTCATTTAATAACAGACAGGAAACTTTCTAAATATGCTCATTTGGTTTCTTCCTCTGGAAAGTTGCTTGCTAAGAACATGATGGCATCAGAATGTGTAGCTTCTTATGCAAAGCTTCTAGAAAATATACTTCATTTTCCATCTGATGCATTGTTTCCCCAGCCTGTTTCTCAGTTTCAGGGACATGCATGGGAGTGGAACTTTTTTAGGAATGAAATGGAGAGAGGTACTGAAATCCTGAATTTTGGTCAAAATACTAGTTCCAGGAGAAAAACCAGTGTTGTGTATGTCCTGGAGGAACAATTTGCTGGGCAAAATAATGCATGGAATATCACAGACAATGAACCCGAGATTCTGACACAAGACATCCTCACCCAGCTAGATTGGGATGTTTTGGGGGAAATAGAAAGCTACATAGATTATGAGATGCGGGAAATGGAGGAGGTATGGCGATTGTTTCTTTTCTTTTCTTTATTTATTTTTGTTTCCAGTGGAAAAAACACTAAAGTACAGCATTGTGTGTCAATCTGTAGCTTGAAGAAAGGATGGAGAAAACCTCAAGGTCATGGGATGGGATATACCGCAATGCCAAGAAACATGAAAAACTTAAATTTGTAGCAAATGAAAGAGATGAAGGTGAGTTAGAAAGGACAGGTCAGCCATTATGTATTTATGAAATTTACAGTGGAGCTGGAGCCTGGCCATTTCTACATCATGGTTCTCTGTACCGTGGGTTAAGTTTGGTGAGTTTTGTTGACTCTAAAATTTCTAGGACCATTCTTTCCATCACTGATTTCCATGTATTTATATCTCTTGTAAGTTCTATCTTATTTCATGCCATTAATTGCAACTAGATGCCAAATCATGTCTATGGAGATTTGCTTTTTTTTTTCTCTTTTATTATGCACATTGTTGAGGATTTACTGTTATTTGTTTTCTTGTTATTTAGTTAGTGTTATTGGACCCAAGGCCCATTATTTTAGTTCTCTTTTAAACTGGTGTTTAAGTATGTTGACAGTATCCGCCCTATTGAGGGCATGTTTGACACTGTATGTTTTTAATTTCTTAAGTACAAAAGTTAATGGGAGAGGTGGCCAGATCATTACTGGCTTTCTCTTCCCTCTTCTCCTTCTTCTATTCTCAAGAGACTTTCTTCTTCTTTTTTCTTTTATTTCTTAAATATTTTTTTGTCTCTATTAATTTCTAGTTGGTATCAGAGCAATCTTTAGAGATTCTCGAGATTGATCCATGCTATCCTATATCAGCTGATTGCATGGAAGAATAGAGGGTTGATTGTTGGTTCAAGAAAGGCCTTGTTCTTGGATTTTTTTGGTGGATTTCAGACACTAGGTGAGTGATCTTGTTGAAGTGGACTCTTTGATTTTGAGTTGGAGGGAGGTGCTCAGGATTTTTTTTTTTTTTTGAATTTCTAAGGAATTTGTATAAGTTACGGTTCGATTTCTAGCTGTTTCTGGGGATCCTAGTGTGATCGATAGCCATTTTGTTTCGCAGAGAAATCTCTTTGGATTAGTGTTCTTTGTTTTTTGTTTTCAGAAGAGTTTTGGGCTGTCCAGAAGGGATTAATCTGATCCTGGAGGTTATGTTTTTTATTAGTGTTTTATGCTGTTTGAGAAGCTATGGGAGGCAGTGGAGTTGAACAAAAACTGATTAGTGACCCTGGACTGGGTGTGGTAGGTGCCAGTGATCCTTTGGGGTCTAGTACTATCATGTTTTTTTATCAATAACTACAAATTTCATTAATAGATAATAAAACATAGTACAAAAGAAGAATCAAAGGAGGAGAGGTAAACTCTCTTAAATCTCCTCAACAGTGTTTCAACTGATCCCAAAACAGTTGATTCCTTCCCACCCCTTGTTTAGCTAGTACATCAGCAAAAGCATTAGCAATTCTTTTAACCCACATTAGTCTCACATCCATGTTTTGTGTCAGACACTTGGATTTCCTTCTTTCACTTATGTAGTTCCAAAATCCAGCTTCTTCCTTTTGTAGCCATCCCACCACCAACTTTGAGTAAACTTCTACTGTTAAATTAGATGGTACAAACTATCACTACAGATTTGAATCACTTTTTGGTACTATCACTATTGTTAAACTAGATGATACAAATTATTTGGAATGGTCATAATTAGCCAAGATGGCAATTGGTGCACATGGAAAACTAGGATATATTATTGGTGGACAGAAGCAACCCAAGACAAATTCTTCTTGACAGGTGCAAGAAAATTACATGGTGGTAATTGGCTATGTAACTCTATGCTACCTCACAGAGTCAAAATGCTGCTAGAGCTTATCAGTTAAGAACTCAAGTAATTAGAACAAGACAGGGAGATAAGCCTCTTGCTGTATACTTTTCTGCCTTGAAAACTTTATGGCAGGAGATAGACCATTTGGAGATTATAGTTTGGGAGAGTACTAAGGATGCTTCTACCTATCAAAAGTTGGTGGAGAAGAACAGAGTGTTTGAGTTCCTAGCAGGGAAACACATTCTTTCCTATGATAGTATAACTCTCTCAGGCATATACCTTTGTCTTTAGAAAAGAGAGTAGGAGGAATGTTCTGATGAGAAATCCTGGCATTGAGCAGTTGGCTATGGTTAGCACTATCAAACCTAAGCCTAGTGGGTTCAAACAATTTAATTTATTATAGTTTTCTAGTATTGATGGTATGGTTACAACAATTTAATTTATTATAGTTTCTGTTGCAAACATGTTTTTTTGATAATTAGTTTCTGTTGCAAATATTTGAAATCCTAATATTCCTAGTGTAAGGATATTCTTGGCTTCCTTTTTTTCTGCAAGATGAATATTATTTGGTCTAGTTAAACATTGAACGTGATGAATTCTTGCACTCCATTTCTCTTAATTGTTCTTACTGTTCAATCTCTTTATCATCAGTCTACAAGTGCTCGGAGATTAAATTCAGATGATGTGAACGCAGCTGGACGGCTTCCTGTACTGAATGATACATATTACAGGGATCTTATATGTGAGCTTGGGGGAATGTTCTCTATTGCAAATAGAGTGGATAATATTCACAATATACCTTGGATTGGTTTTCAGTCGTGGCGTGCTGCTGGAAAGATGGTATGCAATTTTTTGGTGGTCTGGTGTTAATATTATTCATGGATCTAGAACAAGTTTGATTCAAACAATTTAAACACACACATATTTATAGCTCATATTATATCTAATTTGTATTCGGGAAGCTTTAGCAAGTCATTTTTTGCTTAAATGATATGCAATCACTGTTTCTAGACCTTACATTATGCAACCTCTCTCCATCTTCCCCCATGGCTCTGTATAATCAACAAAAATCTATATTTTCTTTACAATTACCTCTGATGTACTGATGCAGGGTCAGAAATATGGAAGAAATCCTCAACAATGACTTTCTGTCAAGGCTGTTTTCTTAAAAATGGGCTTGTGTATTGGATTTGAACTTGGGCCACTTATTGGGCCTAATTTTGGACTGAAAATTGGACCTTTTTGGGCTTCCAAAAGGTTCACTGTTGGGCTTACGGATCCCAGAGGTCCATGTTGGCAACTTATGATTTTTAAGATTCAAGTCACATATTGCTATCTTTGATTACTAGGAGAACAATAAGAGATTTGGCCCAGGATTACTATCTTTTGTTTGTAAATTAGGTTTAGAAGGAAATGGTTTTAATAGGGTAATAGATAGGAAGAGAAACTTGTGGTGCAAGATATCTGACAGGTTATTGGCACCAATGCGTTTCATATGTGTTCTGTTTCTCCAAGAATCAGAAAGCAATCCCCTGTTTTTTCTTTTTTTTTGAAACACACACACACAAAAAAAAAACTGTTTAGTGGAGATGCATGTTGACTGGGAGTTTAAAGTGCTTTGGCTTTTTTTTTTTTTTTTATAATATTTTCATGAGAACCATATGACATCTCAGAAAAGATTCATTTTTTCAGGTTTCAATGTGCCACATCCCCTTGGCGATTCAAGATCAACAAGGTGATCCAGAAATGCCAAATTGATGATTCAAGAAACCCCCTCTCACAAGTCCCAAGATGTAATCATTACAGCAATATTTTTTCCCAAAAAATGGCTTCCAAACATGACTAAACAGTGTTTCCATTTTTTTTTTGTGATGTGTCAAGCTTGTGAAATGGAACACTCATGAAACGCATTGGTGCCAAACATCCATAGGATTTAGGAAATCCTTCTTTACAAATGGAGCAGTAGTAGATGTGTGACACTGAGAAGAATTTGGATGTTTTATGTTGTTCCTTTTGAGTGGAAAGTTTATATTTCTCCCTCATTGACATATTGCTCATGCATTAGAAGATTGCATTTACTTCTAACCTCAGATCCAGATAAGAATAATCTTTCTTGCAGGTGCTGACTAGTAAGGGTGTCAATGGACCGGTTTGGACTGGACCCCATCCAGTCCAAAATCAATTTGGACGGATTGGACAGACCAATATGACATACTGGATTGGACCAATCCAGTCCAAAATATTTATTAGATTGGATTGGACTTGGTCCGTCCATAATAAATTTATATTGGATTGGGTTGGATTAAGACAATACCTGGTCCATTGATATAAGATAAGAATATAGGTGTCAATGGACCAGGTCTGGGTTGAAACCAATCTAAATTAAAACGAATTTGAACAGATTGGACAGTCCATACATTGAATTGGACTGGTTCAAAATATTTATTGGATTGGATTGGACCTGGTCCATTTGTAATGGACTCACATTGTACTGGATCAGATTGGACCATATCCAGTCCAATTGACACCACTACTGACCAGCCAATATACCCCCTACTGATCATCGGATCAGATCACTACTCTCCACCACAATATATATATATATATATCACTTCTCATTGTCCCATCATTCCCTCATCATCTAATTACTCCATGATCATCTCTTGATCAGCCACAAATTTTGCTTATTTTTCCACTTTTAACTAACCTTGCACACCTCCATAGCCATTTACAATCCTATCCCATTCATTCCCTTACCTCTATCTTAGCTTCCATCACCTTAACTGTAGGATCAACATGACATCTATGACCTGTACCGTACCAATCTCTTTGCTGTTGTTAGTGTGCCTCCAGTTACAGATATAAACAACATTAGATATAGGTAACAAGTAGCTGCTACAAGTGTCTGACATGAAAATCTAATCTTGGACACTTGAAAAACAATTTAAACATTTCTATATACATCACTTCTATACTTTAATTTTAAAATTCCAAAAAAGGAAAAGTAAAGAGAAAGTCATGTTTTTTTTTTCCTGTGGCTGTCCTAGTTGATCTTGCTACTCTTTTTATTGTTTGGTCTAAAGAAGCAAAGTTTCCTTGAGAGTTTTTTAATTTTTGTGGCTTCATCAGTGAGCAGCTTACAGCTTCATGTGTTGTTTGTTTCTGAAACAGGTTTCCTTATCTGTTAAAGCTGAAGAAGCACTGGAAAGAACTATACTGGCCGAAACTGAAGGAGATGTGATCTATTACTGGGCCAGATTGGCTCTAGAAAGTCGAGTTACTGAGGGAAACAATATACTTACATTTTGGTCTATTTGTGACATATTGAATGGTGGCCACTGCAGGTGTGTAATATAAAAAATTCGTTGGAGTTTGATGTAATTATTTGCACGAGTGGGCAGGGAATGTTGTACTCTAAACTTTTAATCAACACATTAAAATTCTAAATGTGGAATTGTATGGCTGAAACTAACAACCTGAGCTAAAGTGGCTTGCTTTAATTTGTGGTGTTTCCAAATTGATGCAAAATAAAATGCATTTAAGTATGTGCTATATTGCAACCTTATATTAGAATTAGTGGTCATAGATTTGTATTTGTATTGCTATTTAATTGACAAAGTACTCATTTGTTTTGCCCAGACAAGTGAAGAGTGTAAATATCATTTTATTTGTAAATTCGTGCAGAGCTGCTTTTGAAGAAGCCTTCCGTCGAATGTATGGCTTACCTTCACATATTGAAGCTCTACCCCCCATGCCTGAAGATGGTGGCCACTGGTCTGCACTGCATTGTTGGGTAATGCCAACACCATCTTTTATGGAATTTGTGATGTTTTCAAGGTAGGTTGTGGATATCCTGGCAGTATCTCTCAAAATTGAGGATTTGTTCATGTTTTGACAGTTCCGTTACTGAATTACAGGATATTTGTTGATTCACTTGATAGCTTGGGTAATAATTTGAACAAGACCACTACCTGTTTACTGGGATTATCAGAGCTTGAGGTAATCTACATGACCTGTCATAATTTATAGTTTTAGTTTTTTGGGTTATTAAATTATTGGTTGTTTTATGATCAACAGAAAAAACACTGTTACTGCCGGATTTTGGAGCTCCTGGTCAATGTCTGGGCTTACCATAGTGCACGGAAGATGGTTTATATTGATCCACATTCTGGTTCCCTTGAGGAACAACACCCTATTGAAGAACGGAAAGGGATAATGTGGACAAAATACTTTAATTCTACGTTATTAAAGAGTACAGATGAAGATCTGGCAGAGGCAGCTGATGACAAGGACCATCCACGGGAGAGGTGGCTGTGGCCATTAACGGGAGAAGTGCATTGGCAAGGGATTTATGAGAGAGAAAGAGAGGAAAGGTACAGGCAGAAGATGGACAAAAAGTTAAAGACAAAGGATAAATTATTACGCAGGCAGAAGCATGGATACAGTCAGAAAACACTTGGATTATAGGAATCTCAAATCTCATTCCAGAGGTTTGGTCTAACCACTAACCAATTTCATCAACCAGCATTCAACTCATTCTTTTTCATCCTACTGGGAGCCAAGAAAGATTGTGCAGATTGAAGAGAATCACATTTTTTTTTTTTAATTTGCCATTCATATTCTTTCTTCTTTATCATCAATTTTCTGCATCAGAATCGAAATGAGCCATAGAAGGATATTCAATCAATTCAAGGGTCCATTACGAATCAAATGGGGCCAAGAAATTTTTCTTTCCATGCAAACCTTTTTTTTTGTTTTTTTCATTTTTATCATTCATTTATACTCTGTAGGCACAAATTGAGCTGTATTCTTTCCTAACTGTATATACATTCAACATTTTTAGAGGCAATCTCAATGAAAATATGAATTATGTACTTTGCCCTTTGGTCATTGGTTCATCCTTGCTTTGTACACCTGGAAAAGTAATGCATGAGATTGTATTATTATGGTTATATAATTAGGTCATATTTTGCATTCAAGGTTTCCGTGGGATTGTGGGAGACTTGAATTATTATTGTTTGAAAATTCTTTTCATAGGGTAGAAAATTATTCAATATGTAATTTTAATTGTATTTTAAGCTTCATTTTTTTTTTCAAAGCATTGATGCTCCTAATTCTTATACTTCCGTGTATCAGCCTATTTCAAAAGTTGATCCTTGCTAATAAGCTTTGAAGTTTGGACATTTACATATTCCCTAATTTCTAGTATTTCTTGTATCGGCTATATGATGTAATCCAACAGCAAACATTTTTGTGTGTAGTGGGCGGAAATGGGCTTAGCAAATATTTTTTGAGTATAAAGGGCTGGATGTGGATGGTGTTGGTGGTTCATTGGTATGTTAGCTGGTTGGCTCCAGCATTGATACGAAATCGATTCTCGCAACCACTAATTTGGGGTAATAAATGAAAATTGGGAACAAACACTCGGGATATGCTACCCATGAATTGTTCCTTCTGAGTTCCGATCTCTTGCCCACACAAATTCTGTCCACATTTACTCACATAACATCGCAGCTACACATGGAGAACATCTCATTTACATTACATAATATTATATAGGGGAGGTTTTCCCAATTCATGGGGGTAGTGTATTATGAGTAGATGTGGGCAAGAGATCCGGAGTCGTTCCTACATCCCTACCTACAGAGCACCACTACGTGTATTACGAATGTTTTATGACAAAGGGAGATATTCTCAATGCGCAACTGTATAGAGTAGAGACGTAGGAACGAGCAGGATAGCATATTCAAACCCGAAAAAAAAAACATAAAACGAATCAACACTTTAAAAAATTCATCGGTAAAAAGGGTAATTTAGAGATTTAGAAAAACTTAAAATAGTCAGATGACTTCAAAATTAAACGGAATGCTATCAGAGCGGGTCTTTGTCGGAATCTGAAATTTCAGGGGTAATTACCTCTACCCCTAGTCCCTACGTGCAGGATAGTAAATCCACCAAGAAAACCGTTACATTGGAATCTTTTAGCTCTTTTGTAAATCTAATTGTACAATGTAATACACCGTTTCAATCCCCAGGTCAATACGAGAGTTCTAATCTGATGTTGTCCTTCATCCCCCTCCTGTATAAAGTAATACACTGTCTGACTGTGGAGTGTGGATTATCTTTTTCTTGTATCCCTTAAAAATTCATCACTGACCATACATCTGGAATATAATGTTGGGACCCATCTTTATTGGGATCCGCATTTGAAATCTGAAGAGGGTATAAGAAAACAAATTTGTATGCCTCGGCATGGAACGGGATCGTTAATGGTGTTGGTGGGTGTGTACTGTGTAGGACCGACGTAGCCGCTCAGCACTTGTCCAAGAACTAAAGTAAAGCTGTAAAGGGCATCTCATACTTACATAGTTACAGTCTTCTGTGTTTACTCTTTAATTACGATGAATTATGAAATATGAATACGAAAGCTACATCCTCCCAGCTCCCGCTTCCACCCTGCTAAATAATATTGTCACTTTCTCTGTTCCGTGCAGTTGCAGGTCGAGGGTTTATCTGTCTCTGCCTACTTCAGAAACCCTGGTATGCATCCACCCCATAACCTGTCGTTTTTCTTTCTGTTCATCTGTTAATGCATTTCGGGTCATCTTGATTCTTGAAATGCGGTGGAAGTATAGTTCTGTTAGGTGTTATCCGACTAGAAATGCTACTAAGATTTTTAGCTTCTTGAGGATTTTCTCTCTCTCTTCATTTGTTCTTTCTTCCTATTGAAACTTGAACCAAGGATATTAGGTGTCAAGTTCAATCCACTAAACTTACAATTGGATGCTTGAGAATTCTTTTCTATGTTTTCTGGTTGTTGTTGAATCGTTCTCTGCCTACTGAGGAAACCCTGGTATGTATCCGGCCCATAACCCGTAGTTTTTCTTTCTGTTAATCTGTTAATGTATTTCGGGTCATCTTGCAATGCGGTGGAAGTATAATCTTGTTACCCGACTAGAAATGCTACTAAGATTTAGCTTCTTTACGTCTCTCTCCGTTTGTTATTTCTTCCTATTGAAACTTGAACCAAAGGATACTCGGTTTCAAGTTCAATCCACTAAACTTATAATTGGGTTCTTGAGACTTCTTTTCTATGTTTTCTGGTGGGTTGTTAAAGATACTTTGGTGGGCTCATTCTTGGGATATTTCTTTGCTCGATGAGTTCTACCTCCTCTTTGTGGAGGTTGTTCCTCGAAGAAGTTAGTTATTGATGATGATTTTCTTCTCTGACAAGTCGGGGTTGATAATAAACGGTCCCTCCTTGAATATCAGTAATCTGCCTTATTTCTGTAAGAGTTGCTGACTTGCTGTATGGGTTTGACCCAAAAGCTGGAGATGTGAATTCTCTAATTGAAATAGACTATGGTTTGGCAAGAGGAAGAATGAGAATAATAAGTATTACTTCCATATATGAACTATTTTGGGTTTAGCAGCATTACATTTGCAATCTGTTTATCTTATAGTGTATTAGTATTTAGTTTAACTCCTTTCCTTTCTGGGAATTCCTCCTTCTGCAACTACTTAAAGTTTTTTCCCCATTTAAAAGAAGCAATCAGTTCTGCGCCAAGGGTGGGCCTTGGTGCAATAGTTGGGTTGCTCCATTGTGATCTGAGTTCAAATATTGGAAACAGCCTCTCTATATGTGCAGGGGTAAGGCTGTGTACATCTGTCCCTCCCCAGACCCTGCATTGGCAGGAGCCTTGTGCACTGGACTGCCTTTTTCATTTTCTTAAATCATTTGAAAGTACTTAACCATCAAAGAAGCCTAAAGCAACCAGCAATTGCGTAGTTGTTGTACCAATAGTAGACTGATCATTTGGTGTACAGCAGAATTTGTAATGGGTTCGAAATATGAGACTGCCACTGCCTGTGCCAAATTGACCCTGCTTAGGTGGCTGTTACAATCCATTGGTTTTCTGATATGGACCTTCCCCATTTTTTGGTGATATACACACATAGAGGCTAGAGCTTTGGTAATTGGGCTAAGAAGAACCTGACATGCTTGCCTCTTCGGCCTCTATTTATGGAGAAACCACAACCATGTGTCCAAAAGAATCTCCTTTATGAAGGCAATTATTAAATTGAAAAATTGAAACCATGGATAGCTAATATCAATTGGGGAAATAGTCATGCAAAATAGGGTTTAGGGTTTATATGGACTGGGGGATTGAGCATTTCCAATTCAAAGTCCCTAATCTAGTGGACAATTCAGATTGTCCATATTGTCACTTGACATGGCAAAGATAGGGCGGGTTGTCTAGGAAATCTCCCTGCTTGACCCAATTGGGAAGGTCCCTGTGACTGGTATTTCAATGTAGAAGGGGAAAAAGGCAAAACTATACACCTTCTGCCATTTCATTTTGAGGACAAAAGGGGTAATTTTTTTCTGCAATTTTCACATTAATAATTTAATACCAATGCAACTAGTGTATGAAAGTGATCTTGTTTAAATTTGTAGAACTAGATCTCCATTTAAACCTATCAAGTTGTTGGTCTCACTCCTATCAACTTATATGGGTTAGAGGTTGGTTTACCAAAAAGTACATTAGATTTTATGAAAGAAAGAAAAATGGTTGTTATGTTACTGATCAGGGAAGAGAAAAGAAGAAACTGGTTAATGTGTGGTATGCTGGTTAATGTTGCCATGGTTCCATTACTGCTTTACATATAAAAGAAGAAACTGGTTACTATATATGGACCTCTATCTGTAAGCGCTTCAGAAATTGGCTGTTGTTACATGTAGTTTGGGCTGAGAACCTGGTGAACTGTCCACATAATGCATACCGTAAAGGCTAGCTGGGTTGGGCGAACCTTTGCCCAGGCAAAGTGCAATGATTCTGGAGAGAAAAAGTCCCGGGTTCGGCGATCAAAGGAGGAAAGGAAGGCCATGGTTGAATCCTTCATAAAGAAGTAATTTCTATATCCTTTCTTGTGTTTAAGATGCTAACTTCATTTGCAGCTTAGATACTGGCAACTTATTGTTAAAGCAAACATGTCCATTGTCTGCTAGAACTTTCAGTTTGTTGTCAGCAAAGATGCAGATGATCTAGATTGTTGAATGCATATTTATTTACTCCATATTTACTTATTGATAGTTAACAAGATCAAAGAGAATTTATTCATGAATCATCAAACAAATAAAACATAAAGGGTATAAAAAAGTTAAAAAAGAAAAAAGAAAAGAAATTCAATAAACTCCAGGCTATCACAAAATAGCCTCTCATGCACCCTGTGGAAAAATCAAACTAATCTGGCCTGAGGTCCAATACAATTTGCTTCTTCCTACCCAGCTTCTAGCTTAAAGAGTCAGCTAGGGTATTGGTGGATCTAGCAATCCAGTGGAACAAGGTATGCCCCTTGCACCAATGGTTTAGCCTCTCTAATACAAATATCTTTTTCCTGTACCTCTTGCTTCAGTAGATGGTCTTTAATGCTGCAGTGTGGATGATGAAAGGGGAGTCAGAGATTTTAAGTGGACTGGTAAAGATTCCCAGTCATACGCTCACCTTCCATACATGCTGCTTATGATAGTTTTCCATAGACTGGTTTGCACCTTGATGTACTGCCATAGCTATACTAAAATTAGAACCTCTACTATTTAATTCTACCTGTATTTTATTTTGTTGGCAGTCGCAACAGGAATGGAATGTTGAAATTTCAAATAAGACTTTGATCAAGAAATTAGGAGAAAAGAATCATCCAGCTCCACAGTAGTGTTTCTTGGATCAAGAGAAAAGCTTCACACTTTTGTAGGATCAAGGGAAACTAAAGATTTCTTTCCAGAAGTTTACTTTGAGATCATAAAGCAATAACATAGGTGTTGGTCCTGCAGCCCTACAATTGAAGCTGAATTCCCAGAATGCCTCTAATCAGTTTTGCATGGAGAAGGGCAGGAGAATCAAAACTTGGCGTGTTTCCAGGAATCTGACTTCACAATAAGAAAAAAGAACCCACTGAAAATTTATAGAAAAACATAACCTATTATACTCCATATTTCTTTAGAATTATGACATTATATTACCTAAAAAAGGTCTGGAACTTTATCTTTGTTACTTAGTTATTGTTTCTAGTAAAAAATGGCATTCATTGTCTATATTAGCTATTCATTTATGTCAAGTAAGGAAGTAGGTAAAGGAAAATGCTATATTGAAGTGTCCATCAGGAATCCATGTAGTGTTGGAATCCCATGTGTGTCAGACAAGGACACTGCATCCACTTAGGAGAACCCATGCAACACTACCCATAAGCTATAACTCCTTCAATAAAAGGCAAGTAATATAACATGTAGTTTTATCCCTTGAATACCCTAGCTACTTAAACTAGAACAAGCAAACAAAAGAAAAATTAGCAGCTAATTGACCCATCCAATGCAACCATTCCCCATCAAATTCAATGCCAATTCCCTAGGGAAGCTCCTCTGCCAATCTCACGTCATCATTTGACTACCAAATTAGGGCATTGTCTGTTTTGCCCTTTGCTGTGCATCTATATTTTGAAACCTTTTAACAAATCCTGATTACATTAAATGAGCTCTTCATATTCATATTATTAGATGAAAAATAGAAAACCAATTGATTTGATTAATATTTCCATTCTATTTTTCTTTTTTATTCAACTTGTGGTTTGGGAATTAATTTAAAAATAAATATTCATTTGCCACAACTTCCTTGAGTATCTAATTGGAATTTCTTTGGCTTGTTTGGCCATATATTATTTTCTTCAACTTTCTGCTGTTCAGTTATTCTAGAACTTACAGTTTGAATCTTTCTGTTTTTGGATAATAACTTGTTTCAGGTACCAGAGCAAAAACAATGGGAATTTCCCTTCACTCAGTCTCACACACAAGGAAGTTGGTGGATCCTTCTACACAGTCCGGGAAATTGTCCGAGAAATAATCCAGGAAAATAGAGTCCTTGGCCCTGCTAAGTTGACTTCAGAAGAGCAAGGCACTGATCAATTCTCCAAACAGTATCCATTAGGATCAATTTCTACAGAACCTCAACTTCAGTTTGATGAAGTCCATTTAGTTTCCATTGATCATCAGACTATTGGTAAGGAATCGGTTTCAACTTTGAGAGGGGACTGTACTGATCATGGAAGTCAGAGTTCCAACAATAAGACATATGTTAATCGGACTTGCATAGATGAAAAGCATGAAGAATTTAATGAATGGAAACCCTTAGAACAGGGGAATGGCACAGCACAAGTGGATGATGAACCTGTATTTACAGAGGATCAAGTGACTGAGAAAATGGAAATAGTGAAAAATACTGAAGTATCCATTGCTAAAATAACTCCTATAGTAGCAGATATTATAGTAGAGACCTTTCCACTAAAATCTGCTCCTAAGCCAATTAATAGCATGGATGGGAGGTCACAAGAAGCAAGGGATTTAACTGGAAATCTGGAGGAACAGGAAACTGAGGTGGAAGCAGCATCAGGCCATTCCTATCCCATATTCCAGAGTATTGACTCTGAGGAGGATAATTCTACTGGTTTGATCAATGCAAATGCTGCAACAAGCCTTCAAGATCCACCAAAGAAAGGTATAGGAAGCTCTGGAATTGGAAAAGGCATTAGTAACAGCCTTCTGGAGGGGTCAAACCTAACCAATGTATCAAATTATGATACCCCCACCTTGCACCTCCCTGATCAAAACCGTGAAGTTTCAAGAATTGAGGTCAGTTTTGGTGTTATTTCCATTTTATCCTGTCATATTTTTCTGTTTTGTATGCAAAATATTCTAAATCATTGACAACAATAGTAGTGAAAATAGAAATATATAAATTGCTGCTATCACCTTAGTAAATTCATGATTTCCAATTCCCATGCTCTACACATTATACGCCAGTAGGTTAATCCTGTAACCATTCTGTTTGTGAGCTACCTCTGGGATGGGTCATTGTTCACAATCATACTTACGTGGAATATTCCTATTCAACCCATTGTATGGATCTTTATTCCTTTTTCTCAGATTTGATACCAAAGGTCATGGCAATATGTACCATGCTAAATGCGGCCCCAAACAATCTGGCTTAACTGGGTAGGGAAGTGCACGGGCCAGCATAGGCTTTGATCCTGCAGTACTGAGTAGCTATGCTTATTGTTGTTTTATGTGCTTTTGCAGCCTAAACTTGCTCCAAATGAAATTCCTACTCAGAGTGTCAATGCTAGTACTACTCGCAGTACTCATGGGGAATCACATTCTCAACCGGTGGTAAAAAAGGCTGGTATCCAACATAGTCGCAGCACTGAGGATGGGATTTGCTCCACATTAAACAGAACCAAACTGTAAGTGTTTCAAAAACAAAGTCCAAATTTATTAGGTTTTATTCACAAAGATTCAATAATTCAACTGTTTCAGGAGCAATCCTTCTATCTTCATTGTTCACTAAAATATTTCCTTTTGTATATTTCGTTGAGCAGTGAGTCATGGAAAGGAGAATCCAAGAAACCTGCAGGGGCAGAAACTAATCTAATTTGGGCTGTGTTTAAAGCATTCATTGATTCCTTTGTGAAATTTTGGTCTGAATAGAGTGTATCTTTGAAAGGGATATTATTTTATATGATGGCCATAATCATCAGGCTTGTAGATTCTTTTATCAATTAATGATGCTTAGATTCTCTGATTGTGCAGAATATTGTTGACTTGAAATTTTGAATAAAAAGGCAAAAGTTTCCTTTGGTCTTTCATGGTCTTATTGGAGTAGGCCCATTTAATAGCGAGTTCAAAACTGTCTACCCCAGGTGTAACTCTGTGCCTTTTTCATCGGCTCCATTGTTGGAAGCTGATCTGTCATTATGACGTATTGTCCAGGCACAACCAGCATCAACCAGGAGATGTCCCAACCAGGATACCTATTACCTACAAGCACTGCGTTTAAGACCAAACAACCTATTTCAACTAAGAGTGATCAGTCAAAAGTATCACTGGATGGGCTGCCATGCCCTACGGGGGGCTATCCAATTGGACTAGCTAATCCTTAGTCTAGTGGAGTTTTGACTTGGTTCAGAGAACCACAACATCAACCATCAAAGCCCAGACACAGTGTCCAAACAGGTGGTGAGTTAGTTGGGTCAAAAGAAGTACCGACTCTTTTGCTGAGATCAGCTAAACAAAGGGGTCAATAGGGTGTCATTGTTTTGGGCTCATTCGTAATTTTCATGGTTGCCTTGTGTTTGGGAGAGATAACAAAGTGTTCAAACTGGTGGTGAGTTGGTTGGGTCAAAAGAAGTACCAACTCTTTTGCTGAGATTAGCTAAACAAGGGGTCAATAGGGTGTCATTGTTTTGGGCTCATTCGTAATTTTCATGGTTTGCCTTGTGTTTGGGAGAGATAACAAAGTTTACCTCTCCCCATCTTTCCTTTTTAATTAATGAATTATACCTGTTATTGATTAAAAAAAGTTATTGGTATTTATGAGTTTTTTTACCAGGTTGGTGTTGAACCAGAAAATTTATTTGATAAATCTTCTCTATTCCGTTGTTTGGTTGCAGTTGCACGTAGAATGGCTGTGGAAAATGGACTTTTCCCAAAAGTGTATTTATTTTTGGGGAAATGACGTTCCTTATGTTCGCCATAAACATTTAATGTTCTAGAATTTTATCAGCGGTGTTTCTTATAAATTTTAATATCGTAAGTTGAGTCTTCAGTTACAAAGAACACAAGAAACTGTGGCAATGGCGCAAGAGCCAAGAGTTTTTTTCTTCTTTTTTTCCAACGCGGAGGTTTGAGTTTGGGGAGATGGGAATGACTCGGGAAGAAACTGATATCCTTTCTGGCAACAACCTTGTGACTTGTGAGTAAACCTTTATATGTGGGGTTTGATTTTGCGAAAATATCTGTCAGCTGGAATTTCATGCTTCAATATGCATGCACTTGCACTTGATGATTTTCCAGATGAGCAATTAGAGACTTAGAGTACGAACTATGAAGGCTGGGAATCAAAGACATGGGGCATGGCCACTCCCAAAAGTTAACTTTTGATCATTGGATTTGGTGTTCCACACTCCACTGATGGAGAATGGCCAAACTGGGCCTCACTAAAACTGGTACACCGGAACAACCCTATCAAGCCCCACTAAAATGGCTGTGTAGGCCTTGCCAAACCCAACCAACAGGAACCTTAAATACAACCGTTTCTTGCTGCAGCCTTGTTTGGGAGGGTATCTGTGTTGATGGAGCCGTTTGGGAGAAGTTATCTGACATAATTTCATCAGAAAGTTGATTTCGCGGCTTCTGTAAGCCTATTTGGCAAAAATGACTGGCAGAAATGCATACGCTGAGATGGATGAATGGAAAATTAAACAGTTCTCTAAACATTTTGAACCTTGCTTGCTAGGTTCTGTAAGCCTATCGGGCATATCGATATTTTGAACCTTGCTTGCTAGGTGAAGTCTGAAGAGGCAAAATTAAACAGTTCTCCAAGCATTTGAAATATGAAATGAGATTGGATGTGTAGAGCTCAGGCGCTCAGACCTTTAAATAGCAGAAGCACATTGCAATACCTATTAAACCACTGGTTTTCTTCTTTTTATTTTATTTTATTTTTTTCACTAGCTCCACCTTTCTACTTGCCTCAGAAATTATAATTTTATTAAAACCTAAAACGGTCTCATCTCGTCTAAAGCTCGAGTGAGCCTACAGTGAAATGGATGATCATGTAGTATTCGAGTTGGAAAGGGCAAGAAGAATGCAAGAAAAGAACTAATTATATAGTGTATTTGATCCCCATATTTCTAACTTTTTACAGTTTCCAATTTTTGGCCTTTGGCATTACACTTATCCTTTTTCAAATAATTCATATCTAAAATGATCAGAAATGATATTTTACAGGACTACACGTTTCAGACGATATTTTACAAAGAGATAAATTGACAAAATCATTGGATTTCTCTGTGGTACTTCATTGCTTGTATAGATAACACACTTGAACTCCACGTGAAGCAAAACAATATGCAGTTAGAGAATGCTAATAACCTTGTTTAGTTTCCCAGAATATGCTCGAATCCTACCCCGGCCAGAAATGCTGTAGCCCGGCTTCCTAATGTCACATTATTAATCAGCTGTTGCAGCCACCTCTTGGTAGTTGGGTCTTCCTGTAAAACAAAAACATTTCGAAATACAACAAAAGAAAACATCATGATAGAGAAATCAAACAATGCATATAACCCAGAAAGAAACACTTACTTTATTCAGATATATATTAATAGCAGTTTTAATAAGGTCCTTTATGCTAGACGGTGTTGAACAAAAATACAACAATGCATAACCCAGAAAGGTCCTTTATACTGTGGAACTAGAACATGGATTTCAGGTTGGACAGATGGATGGTGAAATCCACACCATCTCCTAACTTTGTTCAGATCTTATATTATTTATTGGATATGGTTCAAATACATTTTGTCATACAGATGTGTCATGATACAAACCCACTAAATATGGATATGGAGGGGATGAATCTCTCAGATATATGACCAGCTCCATTTCATGCCCCAATTCTGGAACCATCCACCTAGAACAGACACTGGCATACACTACTGGTGTCAGAATTGATAAAGGATAAAACCACCTAGAAATGGAACATATGAAGTTACTTACCACCTTAAATCCTTAATAGTGTAGCATTTATGAAGGGAACTCTTTAAGATAAAATGCCCATAAGATAGCCAGTTCAGAACATACTAAAGCAGATAAGAAGGGGTTCGAATGGCTTCTAAATGCATCTCTATCACCTTGGAGTGTGGAATTCTGGTTTATGTTCATGAACTAATCAAGCCAATAGTAACTGCCTAGTTCAGTTCACTGTGCCACAAATATGGGATCTTGGGCTGGCTAAATCAAACAAGCTTAGACTAGGCTCTCAGCACATTGTCTAAATCAAATTGGGAAAATCCACAATGCCCTTTCTTGATAAGCAACATTAAACAAGAACTTTATTAATAGGAAAAACAAAATATGCTGTTAACTATAACAGCAGACAACAGAAATCAGCATTGCTGAACCATCCCCATAACACTGAAAAACCTTCACAAATTAACCCAAGGCCCTAGTGATCCCCAACATAAATGTTTTCTTGGAAGTTGGAACCCAGTCCTTGCTAATGAGTCTTCTGAGCTGTTTGCAACTCTGGGAGTCCACCCAGGAAAAAAGAGTTAAGTTTTGCTCCTGTAAATAAGAATCTGAAAATCCAAGGGACTTCAAACCTATGCATTATCTAATTAATGACAGCTTGACAGTCACCTTCAACCTGTAAATCAGTCCAGCTACAAGGAGCCAATTTTAACTCTTGCACTAGAGATAATAGCTCAGGTTTATTGGAAGTATCCACATCAACAGGTCCTGAAAAGCTGAGAAGAATATTTCCCCTATTATCCCTAATGACTCCAATAACAGATGTTCCCAGATTACCCAAACAGAACCCATAAAAAGCTCAGTCTCTCCCCCCAAAACTCAGGTTCTGTCCAAAACCCTTTTCCTGTTTTGTCTGAAAGAAAATCTTGCCACTTTCTACCATCCCCTCAACGAGTCATCCATGGACATGCAAGAGTGTATTTATGCACATTATATTTAATTCATGAACTAAATAAAAAGGATATAAAGTACAAGAAACATATACACCATGATTTCCGTTTTTTCTTGAATAAAGACATTCTCTGGACATGTGGAATAATGCCAAGAATAAAATAGCAAGGCAACAAACAAAGTTGTGAGAGAGAGCCAAAAGTATTTCTAAAGTAACACTTACACGAAGGCAACTATTGAAGGTTGTATCTCTTAATATTTCAGGAAGGCAAGTTTTTAATGCTTCACAAGCTCTGTATCATGAAAGACAAAGATCAAGACAATATGGTTAGATGCTGGATGTAAAGATAAAAGAACAAGAAAAGGAAAAAAAAAAAAGAATGTCGCTAATACAATAGAGCTTGGACCACAAATGATTTCGTTAAACAACCTTGAATTATCTGTCAGCCTAAGATAACACCGAACAATATGCTTCAGTAGCCGGGATGAAGGTTGTTCAGCAAGTGAGTTAACCATGCTTCCCAAAACACGAGCCACTGCAAAAAACCGCTCTGCCGTAGCACAGATATAATGTAGGCCCACATCATCCAATAGAATTTTTTGAACAATAAATGTAGCAACCTGTATAGGAATACAAACAAAGATTCATGTCCATGAAGAAGCATGCATAACTTCAAACAATTACATTTCCTAAAACTATTGGAATATGATAGGTTATTAATTAACAATGGGCGAAAAAAACTAAATAGAAATTATTTGTCTTAAAAACATTTTGGATCTGCTCCACCCCTTTCCTCTCTGATTGCACCTATGTGCATGCAATTTCAAACAACAAAAAATGAAATGTAATGATATAATGATGCAGATTGCGAGGATCCAATGGGAACAAAGATTGACAGATGGGATGGCGGACTTTCTCGCTAAGCAAGGGGTGAATAAGGAATAGGGATCATTTGTATTGGGCTCAACTATAAATTTTCTATGGGTGTGATAAGCTGCACTGCACCTCATACCTCTGTTTGGGATGCATGTCATACTTGTATCCTCTTGTTATTTTTATTTGATTAATAAAATTTCACAGTTATTTATCCAAAAAATTGATATAATGATGCAGATGTGGAAGCAAGGAAAGAATCTATGGAGAAATAAACCAGTTTTTATTGTGACGAGAACAAGGAATAACAAAGAGTAGCAAAGAAATCAAAAGAGAAGACCGAAGTACCAAACACAGATTTACGTGGTTCAGGGTTTGGCATATTGAGCCTACACCCATGGAGGATCCCCATGAAATTCAACTATTTTCAATCAATCATTACAACCCTAGCAGAAAGCTAGTATTTATAGTGTTGAGCTAGGAGGAGTTTACAATTCCTGATACCCTAATTCATATGCAATTTACTAAACACCCTTGTATGGATAAATTTCATACATTTTTGCCCTCTAAGCCCCCCAACTAGTTGATTTAATCAGTTTGTTCTCATGTAATTTTGTTAACCAAACTGAAACCGTCAGCTTCATTTTTTGTGCAAACTGAAACTAACTGGCATTAAAACCGAAACTCTCAGTTTCACCTAATTGTTAGTCGATTTAATCGGTTTTAATTAAACCGACAGGAATTTTAAAGCACAGACACATATGTTAGGAGGACTAATAAACCCATTGGGATCCTCTACAAACATATATCCTTAGAAATTTAAAAAAGATGGCTCGAAGACAGGACACTACTGACAAAAGAGTCGTTTCCATTTTTAGTTTTTTACTTGGCAAATACTGTCCACTTTCGGATTTTGGACGGTAAGGTATTAAATTGTGACCACACATCCTCCATTGTGTGCCCAAGTACAATATTGGGCCCCACGAAGTTTGTGGCTCAGATTTTCACCTGCTTGAATGAAACCCTGTCATCTCATATGCATGACTCTTTTCACTTTTTTTTAGATTTTTTTTTGAGAGAGAAAGGTAGTTGATTTCATTAATAAAAGAGAAAGGTCTACAAGAAGGTGTACAATTAAAAAGAAAAGAAAAACAAAAACAGGGATCAGACCCTTAGGAATTATACAGGAGGAATCTTATCAGAGTACAATTTTTCTAACAGAGCACCTAATTTTGCTAGCCCATCTGCAAGAGAATTAAATTCCCTTGGAATCCAAATCAGGTTTGCATTAGAAGCAGTCAGTAAATCCCTTCCTCCATCAGAAAATGACCGAGTCTCCACAGCCCGGTCTCTTGCTTTCCTAACCATTTTATGGTGTTTGCTGAATCGCCTTCTATGGAGAGGTTCTGAATACCTAATATGTTGTTTACTCTGATCCCTGTAAGTGCAGCCATCACTTCTGCCTTGGTAGAGTCTGCTATGCCTATTGGCCCACTGTACACCCAGCAGATATTCCCATTTTCATCCCTTAGAACTCCTATGCCAGCAGCACCAGGGTTGCCTGAAGCACTTCCATCAAAACATAGAGTCCAAAGACCTTGCCTTATGAGAATAGGACTCCTGTTGGTGGGTGGGGAGGGAGGGAAGGAGAACAGGAAATTACCAGCATTCCTGTTAAGATCATTTACAGAGAATCCTTTGAACTTATCTGTGCAGGAGGCCCACAGATTACAGAGGTGGTTAATGTGAGATAACAGATCACTCTTTGACTTAACCTTGTTCTTAAACAGCCGGTTGTTTCTTTCTTCCCACAGTCCCCAAAGTACAGCATGCAACACTATTTGCCAGTACACCTTTCCTCTCTCAGTCCTTTTCCTTGCCACTGATGAATCAAGTCCTGTAGGTAATTTGGAGCCACCCAGCTGTACCCAACTAGTTGTAAGAAAAGATTCCAAATAAACCTGGTTTTTGGAATTATAGCTGTGTTCTCAGGTCCAGTTAGAGTAGGGGACTTTGTTTTTGCAGAGTTCCAAGCTGTCCTGCAAGGAGTAAAGCTTGCTAGAGATTTAAATTATGATAGATTGTTAATTGAAGGTGACTGTGGTTGAATGAACCTGAAACTGTAATTTGAAAATACAAAGAATACATGAAAAGATTTAAGTGGCTGGTCAGAGATATGACAATTTCAGTCCAATGGGAAAGGAGGTCAGCTAACGGGTTGGCTGATTTCTTTGCAAAACAGGGGGTGCATAAGTCTGAATTATTCTGGGCTCAGTTGTAATCTGATTATATGGCTGGTTGTACTTTGTAATCTTGTGATACTTAACTATGTTCTAATAGAGCTTATATCATTTATCAAAAAAAAAAAAAACCTGTTTTCCTGGCAGTGAATGAAGAGATGATCAGTTGACTCCCCTTCTCGAAGGCAGAGTATGCAGGCACAAGGGGAGATATAAAGTCTGCGAAGATTTTTCTTTTTTTAGGCTTTTTACTTTTTAGTTTTTGGCTTTTTGTGGGAGACAGCCCGACACTGACAGAGACTGGAGAATAGAGAGGTGGGTTAGGGGCTGACAACCTGATTCAACTAACAAACCAAAAAACATGAAGGGAGGTCGGGGCTTTTGATACATACACAGGTAGGTTCATATTGGTTTTATTTCAGGTTACAAAGACATAACCCACAACCAAACCAAGTCTTCAGGTTCTAACATCATAGTTGTCAAGGCGACGCCTAGGCGTCAAGGTGCCTTTTGAAGCTCGCCTCGCCTAATCGCCTAGCAGTTTTCTACTTCCTACTGTAAAATACTTTTTTTATTCATTCTTTTTTGAGATTATAATTATAAAATAGGCATTATTAAACTAAAATAATCATTTTGTGTGTTTATATACTAATTTCTTTTTATTGTTTTCTTATTTATTAGGGTTTAATCAACACAAACATTGCTAAATGCTGTATTGAACCCTCAAAGACTTAAAAACCTGAACCAATAAGAGTAAGGAAGAAATGAAAATTTTATCTAATCCTACTATTACGACTACTACTACTACTATCTAATCAAATTTTATTTTCCTTCTTTCTTTTCTTCCCATGAATAAGGCCATACTATACTTTTTTTTATTTTTATCAATAACAGCACTTTTATTAAAAGAGATAAGTAAGATACAAACAGAAAGGAGGGGTAAAATGTCTTGACCCTCCCTTTCAAACCCGAAAAAACATATTACAGAATAGTCCAAAACAAATTAGATCTTCCCACCCCCTGTTTAGCCAAGGAGTCAGCCATGGAGTTGGTACTCCTCTTAGCCCATTGAAACCTTATGGTCATGTTCTGAGTTAGTTGCTTGATTTTCTTTCTTTCATTTGAGAACTTCCACATGCTGAACTCTTCCATCTGCAACCATCTAACAGTCAGTTGGGAGTCACCTTCCACCAGCAACTTGCTAATATTAAAC